CCTCCCCCCCCCCTCCGGATTCCCAACCACTGGAGGCGCCGGGCTCTATGGCTGACTGCAAGGTGGGAATGCACTTAGAGCCCGACAGGCCAGTCAGTCCAAGCAGACATAAGGCAGAATGTTCAACCGCCCGTCGTCGCCGTGCGGGTCGAGCGATATGCACTGCGTCCAGTCATACCAGTTACCCTGTGTGTCATGACACCCGTTCACCCCCGGCCACTGATGGGCCTGGATCCTGTCCAGATCGTCCTGCGTGACCTCACGGCTTAGCCCTGGGAGGTCCGAGGGCGGGCTGTGAGGCACCAGCACGTGCGGCTTCCGGGCCCCGCGCCGAGTGCTCTCCTCCTGCTTCAGGTACTCGGACATGAAGTGGTGAGCGCCCGGGGTCTGTGCGCCCGATGACGAGAGCAGGCTGCTCTGCTGGCTCAGGTAGGACTGGATGATCTCGTTGCGCGACAGCTCCTTCCAGTTCGTCTGTTCAAAAGGGCTCTGGAGGCTGGCCTTGGCCTCGGGCTTGTCCAGCTCTGTCCTCGGCTGCTCCGTGTGCACAGGGCTGTCGGCCCGCACTGGCTCTTTCTGGGTCAGAGGTTTGATCTGTCTCGTCATGGGGTCAAAGGTGAGCTTCCGCTCTTTTAACCGGACAGGCTTGACACCTGCCTCGGCCACCTGCCCGTCCAAGTTAACCGTGTAGTCACGAGGCCGGTACCTCTTCTTCTTTTTGCTGTCCGAGCCACCGGAGGAGGCAGCATCGCTGTCTGCCTTGGAGGAGTCCGGGGAGAAGCCTGCCCGGGGCAGGAGGGGCTCGGCCGGTGGCAGCCCTGCCTTGCAGCCCAACCCCATGAGCCGCTGGTGGCCCTCAGGCTGCTCCAGCCAGCGCACCGGGCTCTCTGCGCTGGGCAGCAGCTCGAGCCGCCGCACGGGGGGCGTGGATGGCTGGGCCAGCGGAAGCGGTGACGGCACCTGTGTGGCATCGAGTGACTGGGGCCGAGGCGAGGGACTGGGCATGGAGCCCTTGTATGTGTACGGGCTCCGCTGCCGGGCAAAGGAGCCCTCGTGCCGTGAGTTCCGGGGACTGAAAGAGCAGCGAGGCGGCCCCTTGGGGTGGGGGGGACCTGGAGTCTCGTCCACCCTGTCTAGCTGCTGCAGCACCACAGCCTTCATCTGCAAGCAGGGCCTGGGGGGCTTGCCCAGGCCCGGGGAGCTGGTGTGTGGCCTCACGGCATTGACGGGGATCTTGCCACTGTGCTTGTCATTCTCACTGTGCTCCAGGCGGCTGCCCTCGGGGCCAACGTGCCCGCTGCTGTCCAGGGGGCCGGGGAAGCTCTCAGGGCTCCCACTGATCCCATTGGTGGGGAGGGGGGACGAGTTGGCTACCAGGGAGTCGTGGCTCACTTTGGAGACCCTGGGAGGTGGCCCAGGGTGACCGAGGTCGCGCTGGTCCCCCCGGCGCTTGCGGCTGCCCAGCCTGTCCAGCCGCTGCCCGGGCAGCCTCTGGATGTCATTGCGGTTCTTCAGGTCATGGATGCTCTTGGGCGGGCCGGCCGCCCCTGCCTCCGGCCGGCAGTTATGGGCGCCCCCGTTGGCCGAGCCGGGGGCACCCGCCAGCCCCCGCAGTGCAGCCTCATTCTGGTGCACGGGCTCGATGAGCTTCTGCCAGCTCCGCAGCAGCTTCTTGGCCCGCTTGGCGAGCTCCTCGTTCTTCGTCTTCTTGCGGACGTCGTTGATGAGCTTCCCAAGTCGGGTTTCCTACAGCCAGAGAGAGACGATGACACACTTTTAGGACAGGGACACCCCATGAAAAGGGAGCTGAGACAGAAATGGGGGGAAGGGCCCCATGTCTCTGAAATGACCCCACTGGCCCCCAAACCACTGGCCTCCCAGACACAAAACCTACGAGGATTTTGGGTCCCTTGTGACATTTAAATTCTCAACTCCCAAGTCCTCAGATCTTATGGTCCCAGAGACGACATTCTCAGAAGCATCATCTCACAGGCTCCCAACTCCTGGAGGCTGTGGACGGACCATTTAAGGCTACTGCAAAGCATCCTGGGGAAGCACGTTGTGGCAAAGGCAACAGCAAACAGAGGGCCCTGAGCCAGCGTCACTCACTGGAACCCTCTGCTGGGCATGCACCCCAGAGTGTGCAGGGCCTCCTGCAGAGAAAGGGGCCCCAGACTAAAGCCACCCATTTCCTACAGTGCCTGTGGGAAGACGGTACTCTTGGAGCATGTGCTGTGGGCTGGCACAGTGCAGGCCAGGAGGGCACGCCCTCCTCACTCCTCTTAAGGACCTGCTGGGCCAGTGAGCAAAGTCTCTGAGGCTCCAAGAAGCCAGGAAAGACCTGGGTTGGAGCAGCAGGCCCGGCCCTCACTGCCCTCCCTAGTGTTCAGGCCAGAAATGCTCACCTCCAGTGCCTCTTTGGTAATGGGGTATTTCTCCAGGCTGGAGATGACTTCCTGCACCGCCACCATGTTCCGGATCTGCAAAACAAGAGCTACTGGTCAGACCCCAGGCACTTCTCCCCGTGCCAGCCTGCTCCAGAACGCTCCCTTTCCCGAGAGCCAGTGGAGCCAGCATCACCAAAGCCCCCACCTCGTGCAGCCTCCTACCTGCTCCCAGGGGCCAGCATGGCACCCAGTGCACACCCTCCAGTCTGCCTCCTCTAGTGCATGGTGACCAGTTTACCATGAGCCTGTCTATGGACACGCCCACCTGTCCAAGTGGCTGTCACACAACTGAGATTCACTGTGTTTATGAAACAAGATTCCCTCTTCATATGGGAGATGCACTCAAATCTGCCATCTGATGGGAGGTTGAAGGATTTATCAAATGAAGTGCACCAAGTTGAAAAGAGCCATACATAATAATCTAATCAATTTAGTTAAATTAACGAGATCTCCAGAGTTCATCTAAAGACACCACAAGGAGAGCAAAAGTCAAAGTGGGAGAAGACCAATGCCACAGGGCCCCAAGGATCCATCTGGAGCATACAGAGAACTTGGGCCAGGAGACACGAATAGGAACTGGACAAAACAGGAGATCGTGCAGCAGTGCTCAACTCTCTTAGTCATCAGCAGATGCAGACCGAACCCACCAGTGGCTGCTACACTGCATACACACCTGACTGGTGGAAATGGGGTCTGACAATACCAGGTAGTTCTGGGGTGCAGCCAACTCTGGGGAGCGATGGGGCTGTGTCTAGTCAAATCAAACAGGTGCATGTCTCATGACCAAGCAATTCTATCCCTCACACGATACTTGCTACGAGCCAGGCCCTGTTCTACCAAGGTCTGTTTCCACATAGCACTACCTTGTTGAATTATCACAACCTCAAGGGGAAGGTACTATTATTACCACATTTAATGAATGGGAATGGCACAGAAAAGTGTGGGTCATGTGGTCATATATTATAACGACACCAATGTCTTCCAGGAGTTGAAGGAACAGACTGAGAAATTCAAGAGCACTAGAAATGAGCACACTGCAGCTTCAGTGCATTAACAAGGTGAAGTTCAAACCACGAAGGATGAAAAGTCACAGAAAATACATATTGTTGATTCCAATTACACCAAGCATCACAGCACACTCAAAAATTAACTCAAAATGAATCCCAGACCTAAATGTGAAAGCAAAAACTCTAAGGCTTCTAGAATAAACAGGAGAATATCTTTTCAACCTTGGGGTAGACAAAGATTTCTTAGGAGCCCCAAAGCACTAATATCCAAGAAAAAATACTGACAAACTGGGCAGTGAGGAGGCCAGTCCCACAGGGACGAGGCCACCCTCTCCCTGTCCCCAGCCCTGGGATTCTGGCCCTGACAGGGTCCTGGGCTTGCCACATGGCCTGTCTCCACTCCAGTGACCTCACCCTGGTATATTTAGAGCCCTGGGTCCCCACAAACTTATGAACCAGCAATCCCCGCAGAGCGAGCTCAGCGGCACAGAGTGTCCTTGTCCTTGGGCAGACACTGTCCTGCTGCCAGACAGGAGGGGGGAGGCAGAACACCTGAGCAACCCTAGGGGATGGCAGCAAGCTGGCACTGTAGACCTCACACAGCTGGAGACCCTCCTGGAAGCTGCACAGGGGCGGGGATGCGGTAAGGCTTGTGGGCCCCACTGTCACAGCTGAGCAGCTCCTGCACTCAGGCGGGTGTGCAGAGAGGCCTTCGGCTTTGAGGAGGCTCTCAGGCTCTCGGCCCTGTGGAAAGTGCTACGTCCTCTGCCTTCTTCTTTCTGCCCCTGCTGCGTTGAAGTTCAAGACCCCTGAGGGCTCATCCCTCTGGCTCCGCTCTGGCCCCCACTCTGGCCATGATGGCAAGGGCACTGAGCACTGTGTGGGGAGCATCACCTGGCATTCTGGAGGCAGTCAGGCCCTTGGGACCAGGAAGTGGACCAAGCCCTGCCCTCACCACACCAGACAGGCAGGAGTCCTGGGGTCTATGCAGTGCCAGGTTGGGCCTCTGGCCTCAGACACAGCAGACAGTGACGCCCCGGCAGCCTGTGGCCCTTGCCTCCCACCCTCAATGAGAAGACCCTGTGCATAGCAGGGACGCCAAGGCTCAGATATAGATAGCCAAGGGGAGGCTCCCATCCAGGCTCCAGGCCTGTAAAAAGTCCAGCACAGGACCCGTGGGGCAGGGAGATGGGTGTCAGGTACAAGGCAAGCCAGAGGTACCTGTGGTGAGGGCAGCATCTGAGCAGGGCCTCCCAGCGTGGACAGGAGAAGCCCCAACACGTCAGGAGATGGTGAAATGGCACCAAAGCCCTGGAGAGGGGAGAGGGGTCCAGAGCAAAGACAGTGGCGTAAGTCAGGAGGCCAGGAGGAAGTACAGACCCAGGGGAAGTAAGCTGGCTACACAACCTGCCTTCCATTAACTTCAGCCACTGTGGGAGCTAAACTGCTCCCACTACCCCAACAGGCCACCCTGTTGCTAGGTCCTTCCTGGCACCCATCTGTCTGAAAATACACTCACTCACGATCACAGCAGAGACCATGCCATTACTGTGTGGGGAGGAAGCCTCTGAGCTACTCCCAGGCACTGCTCTCAAAGCGGGCTTTGGGGCAGCTCTACAGGTCATAGTGCCCAAGGGTCACTCACACCCTCTTGCTGTCAGGAATAGCCTGGCACATCTGTGGCCCTTCTGTCCTTTGGATATCTCCCTTGGGATTCATTCCCAGGGAATGAAGTCAAACCAAAACTAATAAACAAAAAAAAACACCTCTAAAAACTATATGCCAAACAGCTTTCCCCAAAAGGGCAGAATTCACACATGAGGGACACCTGAACACCTGCAGCCTCATCTTCTCATTAGGGCTCCTTCAACAGATACAGATTAATGTGAATTTCCTCAATAATTAGTGAAGCCAAATGTCACCTCCTTTCTACTAATGCTGACTTCCCATGTGAACTGCTCACTGTCCCGGCCCACTTACTTCCATTTTTTGACTGGCCTCTTTATTAAAAGTAAATACCGTCCCAGGGTGGTGATGTCTGCCCCTGTGCACACAGGTGCCTAAATGTGCTCACGGCTGGCGCTGCAGAGGGAGGTGTCAGGAGCGGGGAGGGCTACTCTGGAAGGGCAGCGGGGGAGCACTCAGAGCGGAGCAAAGGCAGGGCAGGAAGTCAGTGGGCAGCCCAGGGTGTGGCCCAGGTGAACACAGTCAGCTGGTGACCACTGGTGGAACTGACTCTGTCACTACTGCGCTGAGTGCTTGCGGATCCTAGACTGGAGATTCATGAGGGACAATCAGGTAACCACAGTCAGACAGGAAAGCGAACGAACAACCATCCCAGGCAGAAAGAAGGTGAAGCAGCCGGTGTCTCCACATGGAACACACGGACACCCCCTAAACTGGCCTCCTCCAGGCCGGCTCAGGGAGAGAAGAGAAAGAACCCTCCTCAAACTGTCCTCACTCACACCTCGGGGACGCCCAGGGGCACACACTGGGAGGCGGGGAGGGAACGGTCCTCACCACTGACCCAGTTCCCAGGGTTCTTATGCAGACCTCCCACCACATGAGAACCAAGGGCAGGCAGGGAAGCAGCAAGGCCTACCTTCTAGTGAGCCCCTCATCACTTGCTAAGTCACTACTCCAGCCAGCCTAACCCATGACATTTGCTGCTCAACTCACGGGAGGAAGGAAGGGGAGCTGGACACGCACAGGTGACAGGACCAAGGCAGGACAGCAGCCCTCAGAGGCAGCCTGGGTAAAAGTGTGGACTACACAGTGCAGGATGCCACCACTCCCACATCACATGTCTGAAAGTTGTTCTGTGAACTGGTTCAGTGGTCTGTCTGAACCTGGATCCAGGCGCAAAGGTGGGGACAGCCCAGGGGGGACAGACCCACCACTGACAAGCCTCCTCCTCGTGGTAATTCAGGGGATAGGCCCAGGCCCTGAGTAATTACCACCCTGTGGGGGATTTCCAGCCCTGATGTGAAACAAGGAACTGAGACTTCTTTGGAGTCCGCAAGGCCCCTTGCTCACTGCTCCCTTTTCTCCAGGCATCAAGGGCTCCTGCTCCACCCGAAATCCCCAATCTCTCACTAATTAAGCTGGACCTGTGCAGCCCTGGTGGCAAAGAGGAAACCCTGTACTCCCCAAGTCCAAGCACTGGTGAGACTCAAGGGCAGTAAGCCAGGGCAGGCCCACCCAGCCTGACTCTCCTCACAGGACCACTACTTGCTGGGTTCCTCCAGGGGCCAAGGTCTCTAGTTTTTCTCTCTTGAAACTCCACTTGACAGATAAGAAAAAACTGAGGGTCCAGGAAGGTAAAAGAGGTCCAGTGCTCACCACGCAGCTAGAAGGCAGTGGAGTGTGGCTTTATGCTAGCCTGGCACAGGGTCTGCCCAACACACACGGCCCAGTTGGTGCTTTACTAGGTAGGGTGAGGGAGGGCACCCAGACACCACCAGGCTGGTGATGCTGGCATCCCACCCACATACTCTCCCCGACTTGCCACAGCAGGGAAATGCACAGGTTACAAGAGTTCCACACAGGGCTGGCTTCATGCTCAGCAGCACCTATGGATGGCCAGGCTGCCTGTCTACCCCCAGGGTGCACTGGAGCCAGAGAGATCACCACAACCACCCACAACATCAGGGGCTTGAGCCCACCCTCAACGCTTGCCCTAAGCTGCAGGACACTTGGTAAACGACAATGGCACTGGAGCCTCTCCCTGCCAGGCCCTGGAAGGAAATGGCACACACCGAGGATGGACTCACCCCGCCTGTCTAGCCAGGCCCTGACCACACTGTGGCCCTGCATCTATGCAGCACAGCCCACACCAACTCCTTCAGTGGGCTCAAAGCCCGCCGGGTCAGCAGTAAAAACTAGTTCACTTTAAAACCAACCATGTGTAAGTCACTTTTTTTTTTCTTTTTCTTTTTAAAGCAGAATAGTCTAGACTAGAATTTACAAAACCCACTTAGCTCGAAAGGCTTTGGAAGTGTTCATCAGCAAGCAAGCTGTCCTTCC